AAGCTTTCCATCTGAGGCCTGGTTAAAAAGATTGTCCAAATATGCATGTTTATGCAAGCACGATGTATCTGTGTATGTACATGGTGTATGTGTATGCGTACTATGTACATGTATATGTATACGTACATATATATATATATATATGTGTTTTTGTGTATGTAGATGTATATGTATATGCTTATGTACATGTGCATGTATATGTATACGTGTATGTATGTTGTGTATGTGTTTGTAATATTTTGAGTGTAAGTATGGTTTTATGTATCTGTGTATGTATATGGAAATCATAGCTACATGTGTATATATATATATATACATGTACACATACACACATACACGGACATATACAGACATGTGAGTGTGTTTATGTATGTAGTTGTGTGAAACTTTTCTCAATGTATGTTCGATGTACGTACATGCATACATACATGCATGCATGCATGCATACATACAGATATACCTTCATATATACATATACGGGTATATATATATATATATACATATATATATATATATACATACATACATACACACACATACACATGTATGTATGTATATATAGACACACCGTCTACATATATGGATGCTCTGTGTGATCGTGTGCATGTTCCTTGTCGGCAAATGTTACCCACAAGGTTCCTCAGAGCCCTTTTGCTCTTTTTGGTGTGTGGTCTCCGTATGCCCAACCTTCATACCCGCAATAAGGACGCAATAAGGCCTAGTTCAGGAAGCATAGTCCCCTACCCCCCTTACGCCCTCCAAGGGTCCCTATGAGCATTTCCCAACAAGGATGGAGCTTATCGGTGGTGACCCCGAGCTAAAGCTCATCCCTGCCCGAGCCTCAGACCGGTAGGCATGCGGAGGGCGGTTACAGCTCTTGGTTTAGGGTTTAGGGTTTAGGGTTCATATAAGGTTTAGGGTTCAGGGCTTTAGGGTTTTAGGGTTTAGGGTTTAGGGTTCATATAGGGTTTAGGGTTAAGGTTCCCTAAACCTAAACCTTGAACCGTATTCAGAGCAAAAGGAATTCTGCTAGAAAGGAGCCCCTCTTTGAAGGCACATGAATCCAGAACCCCAAGCCTTCATCCAAACTTTAGACCCCTTTAGGGTTTAGGGGTTTAGGGTTTAGGGTTTAGGGTTTAGAACCCAAAAACGCCAAACCCCGAAACCCGAAACTTTAGCCTGAAGGCGCTAACTTTCAAAGCCTATGTATGTTCTAATCATCCTTGCCTGGCTCCAATGCAGAACTCTTCTACCGCCCCCTTGTAGTACCTAAAGGGTCATACCCTACCTTTTTCTAAGGTACCTAGTGTTATGGTTAGGATCTGTTATATATAAAAGGTACCCTAAAAAAGGTGTAGGGTATGACCCTGTAGGCAGAACATCTCCAGAGCTCCTATAGTGCCCTTCTTCCGCTCGCCTTCCCAGAGACTCCACTATCCCTTAATTAAGGAATATACCTTAAACCATATTAAGGATCCTACTATGATTTAAGGAATATTCCTTAATCAAGGGATATTGGAGACTCTGGGTTCTGCGAGGAGACGCAACAGTACGCCACCCGGCATTTCTCCACCGTGGCGCAGGCGATCATGACTCTCGGCTGCCGAAGGCTAGTTCTCAAAAGTGTTAGGGTTTAGGGTTTAGGGTTTAGGGTTCAGGGTTTAGGGTTAAGTTTCCCCAAATAGTACGGCACCCTTATGAAAAGGACTCTAAACCCCAATTTGGAGAACTACCCAGAAGGTTAGGGCTTGCAGTGAAGGGTTTAAGGCTTTATAGGCTACGTTCTAGAGTTCCCTCAAAGGGTTCCTTCCAGGGCCATGTAGTCATGGGTTTAATTACGGGACCCTTAAGGGTTCGAAAAATATAAGGGGCAGATAGCGGCTAAGGGCTTCGTTGCAGAAGGTCTTGAATGCGTGGGGCTTCAGGGTTTGGGGTCAAGGGTTCTTAGTGGGTTTAGGGTTTAGGGTTCTTAGTTTAGGCAACCTTTAACCATTTAATCCTTATGCAATCCCCAAGGTTAATCTTTAGTGCCCCTAGGCTACGGGACAACCCCTAAACCCTAAACCCTAAACCCTAAACCCCTAAACCCTAAACCCTAAACCGCAACTAAAGGTCGCTGCTTGTTGTCGGGATGAGGATTGAATGAGCCTCAAGCGGCCCCAATGGTGGGATGAAGGTCTAAGGGCATTGGCGTTTAGGGTTTAGGGTTTAGGGTTTAGGGTTTAGGGTTTAGGGTTTAGGGTTCCCTAAACCCTAAACTCCTAAACCCTAAACGCTAAACCTGCTAGGGCTTTAGGATTTTGGCGACGGCCCCAAAGGTAGGCTGAAGGCAATGTAGGGGAATTAGAATAGGGTTCTGGGGGTTCCTTATCATAGTTATAGTAAAACTAAAATATCCCAAGCCCTGTTCTAATGATTAAAGGCCCTATATTATGTGGGATGATCCCCAACTCGGAGCCGCGATCCAAGCTGAACGCTGAACCTTGTGCCGTGCGGGACTGTTAGAGTAGACAAGAGACAGCTGGAACATTATGCGAAATCACGGTTTAGGGTTTAGTTTTTAGGTTTAGGGCTTAGGGTTTTAGTGTTTAGGTTTAGGGTTTAGGGTTTAGGTTTAGGGTTTAGTGTTTTGATGGTTCAAAGTTGCTCATACAGTCAGAAAATAAAGCACAGAGGAATCCAGCAATAAGCATCCAGAATCCGGAGGTCCCGCTTTGCATCTCCGAACAAAGGCGCCACTCCTACAACAAAACTCCCAAAAAGCAGGGCCTACTTTCGCGAGCATCACTGCCCCCTGCTTCAGCTTTTTTACAGTCTAACACAGCTTCCTGAAGAATTGGTCATACCGGCCCTACAGAATGAAAGATGGCCCAAACCCTATTCTAATATTATTGTGTTATTCTTGTTCTTAATAACAATGCTTCGTCTACTTGTTCTGGTTACTATTCTGACCATTTTGTGCATGATGATTTTTTATGACTACTATGGCTACTATGATTGTCAGTATTGCTATTGTTAGTGTCACCATAACTATCATCATCTATCATCGCTATTCTCACTAGTATTGCAATTGTTCCGAATATTGATAGTCTTCTTGTTGTTCTTGCTATCACCGTTTCATTGCGATTACTATTATCAGTATTCTTTTCGCTATGAATACTACCATTGTCATCGCTACTATTACTACGACGACTGCTGATTACCATGGCTACTATGACTGTTAGTAACACTATATACAATCATTAGTGTTGTTGCCATTGTGATTGTCAATGTTGCTATTATGATTATCACTATCATTTGTATGCTCTTATGAATATATGAAGACCCAGAGTTGCTGCTATTGAGGCTCCCTAAACCCTAAACCCTAAAATTAAGGCTCCTCTATTACTGTCCCTAAACCCTACGGGTTGAGGGTTTAGGGTTTTCTTCTCCGTACCCCAGGCATGAAGATCGGATTCCACGGTTCGGGGTTTCTGGTGTGGGACGTAAGATTCAGGGCGCTAAGAATTCCTAAAAACCCTAAACCCTATTAAACCCTAAACCCTAAGCACAAGAAACTAAACCCTAACGCCGAAGCCCTCAGGGTTTTGGGGTTTTGGACTTTTCTGTCGATTGTTGAGAGGCTACTTGAGTTTATGGAGTGCAGCGCAGTATAGGGGCCTATATTCGAGGAGGGTTTTGTAGTGCTCCTTGTTGCGAGCTCTTGGGTTTCAGTAGCTGGCCGTAATAATCAGAACAGGCTTTCAGGACATATGGTTTTTCATATGAGAGTATAGGCGAATCGAGACTATAAGGGAAGATATTACGTGTTCAGACTCAGGCGTTTACGTTAACACGCAGCGTGCACGCCAGAAATCTCTCTAAACTCAACTCAAAAGTACCCTAAGCCTGAAACCCTAAAGCACCCTAAACCTGAAAGCGCTAAACCCTAAACCCTAAACCCTAAACTCAAAAGCACCCTAAACCTAAAAGCCCTTAAAGTACCTTAAGGCTGAAGCCCTAAACTACCCTAAACCGGAAAGCCCTAAAGTACCTTTAGCCCCCCAAACCCGAAGCCAAACCCTTAAAAAACGGGCCTTAGTTAACAATTAGAATACGTAGGGTTTGGGGGTATTTTATACTATAGTTATAATAAGGAACCCCCCAAACCCCTATTCTAATTATTAAGAGCCCCTACATTAAAACCCTAAACCCTAAACCCTAAACCCTAAACCTCACAACCGAAACCCTGCCAGTCTTGTGATGCTTCGCGTAAGCCGGGGGAATCCCTGCGCAGATCATCCCTCGCCCAGTTTAGGGTTTAGGGGTTCAGGGGTTCAGGATTTCGGGGTTCAGGATTTAGGGGTTTAGGGTTTAGGGGCTTGTAGGCTTTAGGGCCTTTAGGGCTTAGGAGTCGAGCAGTTCAGGAGTTTAGGGGTTTAGGATGGAGGGGTTCAGGGTTTAAGGGTTTAGGGATCATCATGGATCATCCCTCCCCAAGATTTGACACCCTCATGGTGTTCCTCTTTGCCCAAGACAAGGAGACCTGCCAAGATCTAATTAGACTACAGTAGCATTTGGGGGTATAATTATAGTAAGGAACCCTCAGAATAGTATAGGTAATTATTCATCCCCTACATCACCTTAAACCACATAGATCGAAGCCCTAAACCCTAAACCCTAAACCCTAAACCCTAAACCCTAAACCCTAAACCCTAAACCCTATAAACCCTAAACCCTAAACCCTACTAACATCCTGAGCACCTCAATCTTCTTAGATGTTCGCCGTGTAGACGCCCTCACGACGCCCTCCATGGGCCCGGCTCTCCATCCGGACGCCCCCGACGCCCTCGATCAGAATGCAAGGGTTCCTTAGTTAGGGTTTAGGGTTTAGGGTTTAGGGTTTAGGGTTTAGGGTTCCTTAGTTAGCCAATGGGAGAACTTTAAACTTTTTGGCCTTATATATGAGGTCTTTCCTAAAAAGTTTGAACTTTTTTGGCTCTGGCTGTTGAAGAAGAGAGGTTCTCAACATCCAGATTCGTCTCCTCAGTGGCAAGACGATCTCCGTCGAAGCGGAAGTGGATGAGTCGGTGGAAGCGCTGGGGCGTCGTGCTAGGAAGTCCTTTGGAGTTGCTAGGCTCTTATTAAGGAACTTACTTCAATCTTATATAGCCGTATTTACTATAGTTACGATAGGTCCCTAACATTGCAGCTTCCCAAAGGCTCCATGTACCTTTGTAGTAGATACTTAGGCCTTACAGGGGTCCCTATACACTTTAAGGCCTAAGTATCTACTATATAGGCACATGGAGCCTTAGGGCTTAGACTAAGTTCGTTAACAAGAACCCAGGTTGGAAGAGGCTGTCTCTTGAACTCCTGCGGCAGTGTGCTGGAAGAAGCTGCAACGCTTGGGGATTGTAAGTTGCAGAACGGCGACACTCTCCTGTTCCAAGTTCGGCAGGTACAGGTTTGTGGCACAGACCATGCGTTTGCCGCCATTCTTGGCAATGGATCTGTAGTGACCTGGGGTTCCGCCGACTACGGCGGTGATAGCAGTGCTGCTGGGTTCTGTAGATCTGAACCATGTAAATAAGTTGAGTCAACCAGAATAAGGAAACGTTGCTATTTATTTATAGGTCCCTATTATGGCAGCTTAAACAAGATTCCTGAAGAAGTACCCAGGCTGTGCGACATCGGCTGAAGAATGTACAGCAACTCACGGCTGCGGTTGGTGCTTTCGCTGCAATCCTTGGAGATGGATCTGTTGTGACCTGGGGGGATAAGAGACTTGGTGGTGACAGCAGTGCTGTACAGGAACGGCTGCAGAATGTGCAACAAATCCAAGCCACCCGTCATGCTTTTGCTGCCGTTCTCGGCGATAAATCCGTCGTGACCTGGGGTTATGCGTCCAGTGGTGGGGACAGCCGTGCCGTGCAATCTGAACTCAAGAATGTGCACCAAATCCAATCCAACAAGCGTGCCTTTGCAGCCATCCTTGATGATGGATCGGTCGTGGCTTGGGGCAGTTCCGAATGTGGTGGTGACACCAGTACCGTAAAGGACCAGCTCAAAGGCGTGCAGCAGATCCAGGCATCAACCCAGGCTTTTGCGGCTCTTCTTCGTGACGGATCTGTGGTGCCCTGGGGCGATGCTCTCTTCGGTGGATGTGGCAAAACTGTGCAGGATCGGCTGCAGAACGTGTGCCAGATCCAGGCCACGGAACGGGCTTTTGCAGCCATTGCTGACGATGGATCTGTCGTGACATGGGGTGATGCTAACTTTGGTGGCGACAGCAGTGCGGTGCAGGATCAGCTGAAGACTGTCCAGCACATCCAAGCCAACATCTATGCTTTTGCTGCGATTCTCGGGGACGGATCTGTCGTGACATGGGGAAACAATGGCTGCGGTGGTGACAGCAGTGCTGTGCAAGGCCAGCTGGTAAATGTGATAGAAATCCAAGCCACCACCCATGCCTTTGCGGCTCTTGTTGCAGACGGATCCGTGGTGACATGGGGCAGCGATGGCTATGCTGGTGACAGCAGCGATGTGCAAGATCAGCTCAAGAACGTCAAGGCGATCCAGGCATCGGACTATGGCTTTGCAGCGCTTCTTCGGGATGGATCCGTGGTGACCTGGGGCGAGGAAATTCTTGCAGGTGACAGCACTTACCTAGAGGATAGGCTGAAGGATGTGCAACAGATCCAGGCCGCCAGACAGGCTTTTGCGGCCATCACTGGGGATGGATGTGTCGTGGCATGGGGCAGTGATGCCTGTGATGACTGCAGTGCAGTACAGCATCTTCTCTGGGACCTCTGACCATCCAGCAGGCCTAAAATTGGACCGTCAGCAACCTTAGGGCCTGAATAAGTTCTAGGAATAATATAGGGGCCTTCATAGCTTGTTATAGGGTTGGGGGGGTATAGTATAGTACAATTCTAGTAAGGAGCCCCCGAAACGCTATTCTAACTATCAAGGCC